ACAGAACCAAAAGCATTTTCTCCAATTTTTTAATATTATCTAGTTTATAGAATAGAATTTGCTTAATCATATATTGTAAAAGTTGCATATCACACCAAAGATCTTTGAAAGAATACCTGTAGAAAAGGTTTATTGTTTTACCTGTGTTATTTAAACACCTTGAAGTGCTTTCCTTGCGAATTTAATTTTTTTGTAAAAAAAAATTTCTTGACTCTAATTTTCATTATCATGACTGGCAAGTATTATCTAATTCACTCTAGATCAAAGTTTATTCTAAAGTTTATTCTAATAATATATATCTTTTATATGTTCTAATTTTTTAGAAGGTACGAATATTTTTAAGGATGAAATTTTTCGTATTTAATCTCAAAATAATTATCTTAATCGTTTATAATTATTAGCAAACCAAGATGATTATACTGTCGAAGTTGATTGTAACCCAAACATGGTCACATTTACCTGCAAGTCAAACAAGGTCACATTTATTTGCAAGAAACACGAGGAAGTTGCAGCTGAAAAAGATTTTTCTGAATTTTATTATATAATCTCATCTGGAAACCCAGATCTCGGTTTGAATTTTGATGATGATTCCAGTTCAATTCTGAATCTTCGTTCATTTAAGGACAATACAAATGCACAATGGAAAATTCAACGAATTGATAATTCTGAAGGTAACACACTATAACGATAAGATTTAATTATACTGTTGAGAAAATAGATGTACTTATAAATAACTGAGGAATACATTTTTTTGTCTAGATGGCTTATCGTTAACAGATAGCTCGCCAATAAAAGATGTTATTCTTATAAACAAAAAAACTGGCAAGGCCATGAAATATCAAAAACAGGAAACTGGGGCAGAAATTACTTAAGTTGATCCTGCAGAAACTGACAATATAACTCTATGGACAATCAGTAGCAAAAAAGTAAGTTGTCCAGTAAGGCCGTTTGAAATTATAATTTCGTTTAACGTTCCCTTTTGAAGCTTAGGCGCAGTGGGGAGGGGTATCAATTTAAACAAACATTATGTTATATTGCAAAAATAATCACATTATTATTGGTTGGCTTGTAAGCACGCGACTTATTGGAATTTCAAGGCGTAATGAACGTTCTTATTGGCCTGTTTAATTTTGGGGGAGCTTGTGGAGGTGGAGGGGGGAGAACGTTAAACGAAATATTAATTTCAAACAGCCTAACATAAGTTTCCATATCTTACTTTATGGTTAATTGCTTAATATTTATTCTAGACTGATGGCACACAATTCTTATACCCGAATAATACTGAGGATATGTGTCTAGATGCTTGGGAAAATAAACTTATTGATGGTTGTAAAGTTCGTCTACATCCGCCTCATGGCGGGCCTAATCAACAATGGACTCTTCAGCAAGTCAACGATGATTACACCGTCGAAGTTGATTGCAACCCAAACATGGTCACATTTACCTGCAAGTCAAACAAGGTCACATTTATTTGCAAGAAAAGTGAGGAAGTTGCAGCTAAAAAAGTCAAAAAAGATTTTTCTGAATTTTATTATATAGTCTCATCTGGAAACCCAGATCTCGGTTTGAATTTTGATGATGATTCCAGTTCAATTCTGAATCTTCGTTCATTTAAGGACAATACAAATGCACAATGGAAAATTCAACGAATTGATAATTCTGAAGGTAACACACTATAACGATAAGATTTAATTATACTGTTGAGAAAATAGATGTACTTATAAATAACTGAGGAATACATTTTTTTGTCTAGATGGCTTATCGTTAACAGATAGCTCGCCAATAAAAGATGTTATTCTTATAAACAAAAAAACTGGCAAGGCCATGAAATATCAAAAACAGGAAACTGGGGCAGAAATTACTCAAGTTGATCCTGCAGAAACAGACAATATTACTCTATGGACAATCAGTAGCAAAAAAGTAAGTTGTCCAGTAACATAAGTTTCCATATCTTACATTATGGTTAATTGCTTAATATTTATTCTAGACTGATGGCACTCAATACATATACCCGAATAATACTGAGAATATGTGTCTAGATGGTTGGGATGCTAAACTTATTGATGGCTGTAAAGTTCGTCTATATCCGCCTCATGACGGGTCTAATCAATTATGGACTCTTCAGCAAGTCTAATGCAATTAATTGTAATCTTATTTTTTTGATTTTATATGAGTTGTTGACTCAAATTTGTTATAGATTAAATTTATGATTAGTTTCTGTGGGTGTAAAAATGATTAGAACTAAATTTATTAGTTTTTGGAATACAGTTTTTTTTTTTGGATTTATATACATATTCACTGGATTACCCGAAATTAACTCAGGTTAGAATTGTAGTGACGATGTTTGTAACGACAAATGACAAGTTTAAATAATTTAAAGTCTATTTTGATCTCAATGATGTAATGTTGAATAAATATATGATGTTTGATCCAAGTCTGATTAAACTTTTACTTCGTTATCTTGAGTAAAACTTTATCTAATAAATGTCGGTTTCACTTTGTAAAGCACTAAAAGCACTAGCATATAACCGATTTAATCTTTAATTATTTAAAATTACAGGTTACCTCAGTCAATATCAACCTCGTTAATATCAACCTAAGCCACCTAAGCCACAAACCAAATTTTTATAACTTTTTATATATCAAAATTCCCTCATGTATATCAAGTTTAATATGATTTCTCGTTAATATCACTATCAACATGATTTAAAACCAATTCAAAATAGGTTGATATTAACGAGGGCAACCTGTACTTTGAAGCATTAATAAAAAGTGTTAAGAGAGAGATTTAACTCTTTTATTCTAATCCAATTCTAATCTAGATAGCCCTAACTCTATATATAAATAGATGCATTCTATAAAGTATTGTCTTTTTTTAATATATTTAACCCACAATAAGATTATTTGACGAAATATCACTGATCACTACTATTTTTGGTTGTATTTGTCCATGTGTGAAATTTTTAAATGACTTAAAAGCAACTCGTGAACTGCCCCATTTCTTTTTTAGTTAAAAAAAAAAATAACGATAATCACCATAAAATAATTTTATATTAATGTATGATAGATACTAATACTTTATGTTCTGCACTATATATGCGGGTCATATTTATATTTTTTGCTCATGTGGCTTAGATCTTCTATTCGTGCAGGAGGCTTTTATATATCATATACTAAATTTTTTTTTATTTGTGACTTTGTAATCGGTAAGCCGCTTACTTTCTTGTTATAAATTTAATAAATGACTACTTAACAAGATAGCTGCACAACTGTGTTGTGCTATATTTGAAGCCCTAATTTGGTGAGTTTCAGCTTAAACAATATATGATTAAGCAAATTCTATTCTATAAACTAGATAATATTAAAAAATTGGAGAAAATGCTTTTGGTTCTGT